GCAAGACGCAACAGATTCTTGGAGATGATGCCCCCGGACCGGGCGAAGAGCAACATCCCGCAAATAGACCGTGGCACTACGACACGCTGTCTCATCATCGTGGAGAGAGCACAGAGACCCAGAAAGAATTTGGCAACGAGCTGGCGGAGCGCGCAAAGAGAATTCAAGAGGGTCTGAAAGGAGTTGCAGAAGCCGAGAAACGGTCTCGAAGCCAAGATCGCCAAAATCCCGCTGCGCAGGCTTTACACGCGCTGCGTCACAAGACCAGCAAGACGTCTCTGGCACCTCGGGCCAACGAACCCCAGCCTAAAGCTATGAAGATGCTTGGGATAGGCGTCGCTCCCAAACCAGAACCTATGGGACGATCACCAAACATGGGAGCAAGAGGGGACTACGACTTCGACCAAGGATACGACGAGTATGGAAATCGACCTACCCCTAGGCAAAGACCTGCCGAGTTCGAACCCCCCAGTGGTCGGCAAACACCAGGGTTCTCCCGACCGGGACCGGGACCGGGACCTGGACCTTATCCAAGCAGCTCGATTGAAGATCCTGAGCGACTCTATCAACGCTCTGCGACACCAACTGCTGGGAGAGCGAGGCGTGATCGGGCCGAGTCTGAGGCCGCCGAAAGATCGAGAAGCCGAGGAGGGCGGTACAGAGACGAACCGCCATATTCACCAGCCGAACATGGTAGACCAGGCCCACCTTACCTACCATCACACCGGGAGCAGCAGCAACGTCCGTATGGTCATCTTGATGGACCACATGGCTATCCTGGCCCTCGCCCTCCCCGGGGGCCTCCACGTGGTCCTCCCCCAGTTGATGCACGCACCTATGAGAGGTCTGCTTCGGCCATGTCAAATCGGCAACCAAGTGGAACTCGACCCGGTCCACCAGGCTATTTCGATGGGCGTGCCGCTACGCCGACAATGGGCGGAACTCCTCAACTTGGACCGGGTCCGGTACCAATGGGAGCACCAAGGCCATCTCCACGTCCCCCTTTCCCGCACTCGCCCATCAGCCCCTTGGGGTCTCAGCCTGGAATGTCGCCTAGCCTCTCCGCTCCAGCTTCCGGCGTGCTTTCTGCTCTGCCATCACCATCAGGTCCTCTACCTCAGCAACCGCCTACAGGGCGCTTCACACCTGTCGAAGGCCGCTCCACCCCGATAGGAAGCCGCAAGAAATCTGTCACCAAAGGTATGATCTCGGAACCAACGTTCATTTCCAGCACTTCCTCGGTTCCCCTGGTCGGCTTGCCAAATGGGCCCAGGCCAAGTCAAATTGCAAGCCCCCCGATTCCATCTATGAATCCACGCCGTCGTGGAAATACCATGACCGAGAGACCTGATGGATATTCCAGCCCGCGGATGCACGCATCTCAGACGCCATCAATGCCAGAATCTCCAGGTCGTGGCGGAGGTCTGCCCATGAGTGCCGCACAGCGAGCTTATATCGATCAGCAGCAAATGCAACAAAAACCTCCGCCACGTCCGCGGAATCGCCTGCGAAAGATCAGCAGCGAGGGTGGAAGCATGGCTGCCCGCGCCCGGAACCAAGCCATGATGTCGGAATTTGGCCACGAAAGGCTCCGAAGTCCAGCGATGCCAGTGTTTCCCAACCGCAGCGCGACGTCTCTAAGCATTCACCAAGATGGCGGCATGTTCTGATGTCGAATGTGAACGACCTCAAAACCCATTCGGCCTCGGTCTCGAGACCGCTCTACAATTTACTCTGCCCACTATTTACACCATGTTTCCAAGTCATCTACACCTTTAACAGTCGAACAATACACTTTTGTGCGAATGTGCTTTTCATTACGCAATTGGGGGTCTCGAAAAGCAGAAAAACCTGAATCCTTCACGATTGAACTATTTGACGGGGACTTTCGAAATGTAACTTGCGACGGCTGAAATGGGAATTTAGATATAGTTTTTTCGTGTGCGTTATTCGACGACTTGGAACGCTTTCCTTTTTTTCTCCAACACCTTCCGAATTCCGCGGAACATGACTATGGGCGGCTATACTGTGTTTTGGTTTTGATTTTTTTCAAGGAAAAGAATATTTCTACCGAATGCTTTGTTGGACTGTGTGTACTTGCCGTTGTGGTCCAATCTTGGTACGCACCGGCCGCCACCTAAATTCAAAGTGCGTGCGCTTCCAGGCAGGCGTTTGGGACCTATCTATCTACCTGTGTTTTGAGGATATACGGCAAGCAATAAAATCCAACGCACACACACATAGATAGTTGATGTGAGTCTCGCGACTCGGTGAGCGGTGGCAGGGTGGGTGAATGGGTGGGTATGGTAGGTATGGAGATCACAATCTGAGAATGGGACATACATTAGGAGTGAAGTGGGTTTGAAGGAGAGAATGTCACGTTTTGCTGTGCGTGTTTGTGGTCTTGGTAAGATAGTATATAGCGAATGAATGTGTATACGTATTCCCGTATACGGAGTATTTCATGTTCATATCTCTACACACCACGCGGGATAGAATGTAACTGACCAGTTGTCGAAATGGACTATTATTGGCAAGAGGAACCAAATGCCTAGAATAGAGTTAACGTACTCGGTACTTGGTACCTCGTAGTCCGTCCGGGCCAGGGGACCTACCTTCCTCTTGCCACGTAATATGCAGGTATAATAGCAGACGAGTGTGTCCAGTTCGCGAAAGCTGAGGAGGACAAGGCAATGCTGGAATGCAGGGAGGTCGAGCAGGACCTTGGGAGGCAGAGAGCTGTTTGTTGCATGTATGTATGCAAAACGCCCGCCCCCCGGGGCAAAAAGAAAAAACATATCGATTGATTAGTTTGATTAATTGACTGACTGACCGAGTAGCTGGCTGGCCATTTCCGGATTCTAGACTCGACTTGTATCAAAATGGGGTCTTTCCAACACCTCATTCATGCATACGATCCATAGATGCGAGCCAGCCTGGTTGATCTGCTCCATGGCTTCTTCCTTGCACGATCATTGAAACTTTGTCATTCTACTGCCTCCGTATCAATCAGTGCATGCACGAACGCCTGATCCAATCAATTTAGCTGCCATGAAGCGGAGACGCAGGAGTATCGTTCCTGGGTATTTTGATCTTAGATCATATACCGGTAACCCTTCTGCAACCGTCTCGCCGCTGCAAGGTCGATGCCCTCGATATCGGCCGTCTTCCTCAGTTTCTGCAGATCGCGCTCTGTCAACGGCACGTCTTCGTTCTCCATCCTCTCCAACCGCTTGTTCTGGCGAGTGAGCTTGATGCGCATGCTGATGCCCATGATGGCAGCTACGGCCTGCAGGCCAATGTTGATGGCGAGGGCAAGACGATAGTACGGCTTGTCCTGGTCGCGGTACGTGTACGGTGTCCAGATCGAGGCGGAGTTGCCGATCGAGTTGATGAAGGCGTATGCTGCGGCGCGCTTAGCCGGAGGGCGCGGAATGGCCGACGCAATCCATGCGTAACAAGTGCCGTTCATGGCAAAGACAAAGATCATAAGGAACAAGCTGAAGTATCGCGGCCCAAAGGTGTCGGTCGTCATAAAGATGATCCAGCCGACGATCGTGATCGGTATCGGGTACATGAAGAACCAGAAGCGGTTGCCCATGCGGTCCGAAAAGACGGAATGGGCGAAGGAGTAGAAGACCATGAACACATACGGAGGGGCACACAGGAGGAGCGAGACGATGTGGTTGTAGCCGAGAGTGGCGGTAAGGGTAGGGAAGAAATTTTGGAATCCAGCTGCTCCAGTAATGCACATGTAGGCAATGGCAAGCATGTAGGTCTTGGAGTCGGTCATGGCGAGTTTAAACCCCTTCCACTGCGACATTCCGCCTGCTTCGTCCACATCAGCTTCGGCGGCTTCGATCGCGAGGCGGCGGTTGGCCACATGTTTCATGTCGGAGGGAAGACGCTTCCAGGTGCTAGGGAAGTCGGGGAGGATAAATATGATGATCAGGCCGATGAAACATGTGATGGAGCCTTCGATGACATACAGCCATTGCCTGAACGAAGAAACGTAAGTCCAAGGAATACAAGCTAGAACGACGCGACTTTATGCATTGCAATTACTCACCATGCTGCCATGCCCATCTTGCCAGCCAAGCCACTCAGGATACCCGCAGCGATGAGATTTCCAAAAGCACCGCTAATGAGGGAGCCGGAGTAGAAGATGGACATTCGTAGGTTCAATTCTTTCTTGGTATACCACTTAGAAAGGTAGAAGAGAACACCTTTAGCAATTAGCATTTTTGTTCTTCGCCGTAGAGAAGAAGCAGCCGTACCTGGGAAGAAAGGTGCCTCGACCAATCCAAGCACAAAACGACAGGCGACAATTCCGCCATAGCTCTTGACGAGGGAAGTCAACGCAGACACGAGGCCCCAGGCGCATACAAAGAAGCCCAGGTATAGTGAAGGCCGGCCGAGGTGATTGAGCAAGAGATTGGATGGCACTTGAGCCAAGATGTAGCTGACGAAGAGAATGGAAAGGCCTGTGGCGAGTTGTCAGGAATTTGTTGTAGCACATGTCGACCGAGAGTGAACCATACCAGTCTGGTACTGATCACCATGCAAGCCTAAATCATCCTCAAGACCTTGCAATCGAGCAGCGGCATAATTGTTTCTGGTCTCCCCGTCAGTTCCACACAGGTCCGACAGCGTTGTGAGTGTAATGGCCTTACCGATCAATGTAGTTCATCAGGTAGACCAGCACAATCAACGGCATGATCCGGAGATCGATCTTGCGGACCAATCTCTTCTCGATGGCAAGCTCCTCTTCGCTGAGCGCGCCAAAATGCATGGCTTCATCGTGAGAGAGAACAGCCTTGTCGCCGAGGACATCGTGGTCGAGCACCACGCCAGCAGTTCCTGATTTGATATCAGCCATTTTTGAACAACAGTACCAGCGCGACGACTCGGGATACACAGGACACTGGGAAGAGGAGGGAGAACACAGCTGGGGAGGTGCAGGGATCGTCATGCCTTTTAAAGGAGCGGACCTGACTTCATCACTGCACGCGGCCATCCTCCCCAGTCTCCTGGAAGCGAACTCCCGTCGTCTTGCCACGCAGAGATGGAGAAATCGTGGGGACGATCATGCCATGAAGCGGCGAGTCGGCCCCTTGTGACCCTTGTTGCATACTGTCGCTCCAGTCGCTGAAAATCCAGGGCCTATGCACCACTTCTGGGCTGACGTTGTGGAGGTTGTCGAGACAAGGCCCGACGTAGCAGCTGGGCAGCTGGGCAACAGAGCTTGAACGGTAAAACACCGGTGTCATTCCGACGGAACAAGAGCTCTGGTGGTTTGGTGTGCTCGTGTTCATCTGATGCAACAGAAGCAGGGTGACTGCATGGAACGATCTTCTTGGAGGGTCACCGTTGTGGTATGGTTGGGTGGCCATGGTTAGATCTCCGCCCATCCCAAGCCACCCGCTCCCAGCAACCAGCTCGAGCCCCCAGAAAGCAAATGGGGTGCACACCTGTCTGCCCATTCCATTCACAGTTAAAATGGAAAGCATATGGAACTAACTTAATTCAATCCCCTGGGAGCAGCCACTTTTCCGCTTCCTCTGAGCATTGGCACACGGTCTGGAAACCGTCACCGATCCGTGTCCGAGCGCTGGCAGGACTGGCTGACTGTGGCCCTTTTCCCCCACAAACGCGTAGACTCCACGGGGGAGTCCCTTTGCCCCCCAAAATATGCCGCGGGAGTAGTCCAGAACGGCCTTATTGTAATTCCCGTGCCTGAGTAGAATCGCCATGTTTCCGACGGCGTCGAACCTTGTTGTGCCAACTCCTAACGTGATAGATATAGAATATACAAGTAGATCTCCGCAAGGGCATTTACCGAAGCGCGATACGGAATGCGACCCTCACGCGTGGCAGCGTACGCGGGAAGATCACGGAACCCAACGGAGGCCTCAGGTGAGTCACCTTGAAGCTTCTGGGAACAGCCTCCCAAACGCAAACCATGGCTTTGGTAGCGGTGAGTTTCCCTTTTGCCACATGCCAAAGCCTCTCGAGTCTGTTTATAAGCCTTCCTTGGCTCGTCGTCGAGAAGCAATTAATTCTGCTTAGAGAATACATTAGGCTAATTGTTGGTGCGAGTGTTGACGAAGCCAGTGGCTGCAATCGCGCATTTCCCAAACCACCGCCTCGAAAGGGTGATTGCTGGGGAACTCCACAGTCGGCACTGGCGAGACCGGCTATCAGCCCCCTCGGTGCATCTCAGCCCGGGGGAACTGAGTTGGGGGTCTGGGAAGTTGGTATATACTGAGGAACGACCTCGTAACTATGCATAGAGATTCGTTCCGCTCAACGGGGATGACAGCTTGGACAGGCAGACATTTTCACTTTGGCTTGCATTATCACCTTTTATGACCCTCACTATTTGAAAGCCTCCTCGACTCCAGTCTGGGGGGAGTCTTCAAGGATCAGACCAAAGTAGGAGTACGGGGCCGAAGAAAGTCCATTTTGAAGCTATGGCGGAAATCCCCCATGTCTTGTGACTGAGCCGCGCGATACAGTCATTCCCCCGTGCCGAGGCGCCTTGTGTTTAATCACCGAGGAGACCATGTGTACTCGGTATGCCAGGTCGGTATCGGACGCCAAGGTGGAGTGGCCAAGCTTCACTTGGTCGCCGTCGTACAGTGTGGCTGGTATGAAAGTGTTGATCATTGGAGCAAATGCCGGAGAGGGGTTAGACATGTCGGCTGCTTTGCTGCTTTCCGCTCACACATTAGGACTCAGCAAGTCGTATTTGACACACATCTCGACACTTTCTGCACTGGCTTGGAAGAATCTTCGGGCTTCGAGTCCGACCCAGATCTTCAGTAAAGAGAAGTCGCCCTCTTTGAAACTCTTGAGTACAGCTCCGGGGTCTGAAGACCCGAGTTGCCGCAGAATGGGCAAGGCACTCTGAAAGAGATCAAGATCTGGATCTAGGGTCCGTCCGATACCCTCCAAAAGGAGGATTGAGATGACCACATTCACAAAATCACCTTCCATCCTAACATGATGGGCTCTTACCATTCCAAGGACTTGGGAAAGAACGTCGCCGATTTTGATATTGCCCAAGGCAAAAGTTTGGCCCTTGACGGCCAGAACGAGATGCTGCATCTTGAGGGCAAACACTTCGCCATCGATAACGGCATCAGGCTGACGACATCGCTCAATCATCAAGTGCCCAGCCTTGTAGCCGTCGAACTCGGCAATGGCGCGGAAAAGGTCCAAGAAATTGGCCCTGTTCTTTGCGTTGAGTTCTGTGACCAGGCCTGTGTCGATGAAGATCAGTTGTGGTATGTAGCCATCCTTATCAAGCTGCTCCAGGGCAGCTCGCCATTCCTTCTTTTTCCCAACGTAGGGACGCAGTCGCGACAAAACTGCCTCGGACGCATCAATCTCGGAAGCTGTCGCTGGCTGGGATGCATCTTGTCGGGACATGTAGGTGGGTAACTTGACATCTAGCCCCACGTCCGGGTGGACTGGCTTATAGAAGTTGACCATGATGTTACCGGGGTGCAGGTCGGCATGAATAAAATTGTCTATCAGAAGCATGTGCAAGAAGGCATCTAACCCCTCGTTTGCGATGTCTTTCTGAAACGGGCCACCTCCCGATTCTAGGAACGCGGCGAGCGGGAGACCTTGAGCAAACTCCTCGACAAGGACGGTGCGAGTTGTGAAATCCGTATATGGATAAGGAAACCATGCGGTAGTTCGATGCTGAAAATGTTTCCGAAGAATGGTCAGGTTGGCGGCCTCAATGCGGAGATCCAGCTGCAGCCTCATCATCTCACCGAAATTATGGACTTCATTCGGGAGATCAAGCCACTCCAGGGTTGGAATGGCATTGATGATTGCGGCAAAGACGGCCATGATCTTGAGATCTCGGCGAACGTTACGCTCCACCTTCGGATGCAAGACTTTAATGGCGACATAGGCCGAAGGGACTCTCTGGGGGCTTGACTTGACCAGGGCATCGACGTTCCTCCTAATGCGATGCCGGAGTCTGTGTTTGTCTTGTGCCTCTAGATCGCTGTCGTCCAGCTTTGCGAGATCTGGCTTTAGTCGGGCCTTGTAGACTTGTGCAATGGCGCCGACGCCGAGAGGCTTCTCATCGAATTCTTCAAATATCTCGTTAAAGGATCTCCCGCCAAATGCTTCACAGATGGTCTTAACGGTATGATGGAGAGAGTGAGCAGGGGCATTGGAGTGCAGTGTGGACATCTGCCTGCACATCTCGGCAGGGAAGATGTCGCTCCTGGACGCAGCCCATTGACCGAGTTTGATGAAAGCGGGCCCTGCTCTCTCCATAGATTTCACAAGAAAGCCATACCACCAGACTGTCCCGGCTCTTTCATGATCGCGATCTTTTCTTCTCGGACCCAGAAACGCCGCGGGAACGGTGACGATGACGGGGACAAAGATGACGACCAAATGGAAGAAGCGCAAGCTCGTCGCAACGGGTTCGTAGATCCACTGGTCAAGGACGTAGACGATGATCTTGTAGAGTCGATGAAAGCCGTAGACGTCCTCGGGAACTTTCTTGCTGATCTCCTCCCTCGACACCTCCAACATTTTGATTTCCCGCGTCTTCCCGCCCTCATCCTGTTCCCCCAGTTGAATGAAAGCTACGGGAGAAAGAACGGCGGCAGCGGCCAGAAGGGAGGGATGGCGTCGCTGACGAGGGTCTTTGAGGCTATATTTTCTGGTCCATCGGGTGAAGGATTGTTGATGCCGTGGGATGCGCACGCGGCTCGCGAGGTGAAAGAGGTGGAGATGCCTTCGGCCACCAAAGCGGCCAAAGAGGGAAAAGGAACGCATCAAGACAAACGCATGAAGACAACAAGAAGTGCTTCTCTATGATTGAGCCATGAAGAAACTTGAAGAGGCGAGGAATGAAGTGTGAAGCAGCCTGCTCAGCAATTTCGACGTCGCGGGTGCCGCTGCAATGACGTCGCGTTTCCTTCTGTTTCCTTCCTGCATTTCCGCTGCGCCGCCTCTTTGTTGTTCCTCTCCGTCGCTTGTCCCGGGCGTCTATCTTCGTAGGACATGAGAGCCAGCCCTCTCGACTCCTGCCCTGTGCATCAACCATCTGACCTGAGATATCGCGAATACCAGCCATCCTAGAACCTCTCCATTCATGAATCCTACGTTGTGCGGCCCGTCCACTGCAACTCCGACCGCCGACCATCGTTGGCCTTTGTTAGCGAGCTGAGCACAGCCCGCCCGCCTCAGCCTTGTGGGCTCCTAATTTGGGATCTCATGCCGGACCTGAGTCAGATGGACAGGCCCAGACGCGCCTCAACCCTCATGTAGACCTGCGTCTGCCGCTCAAATATTGTTCAGCGTCTTCATCTTTCATCTGAAATACGATTGCCGCTTGAAGTCACCCAGATATTGCGGATACTCAGCTGTGTTGCCTTTGCACTTCTTCAGGTAAATTCCTTTCTCGATTGGAAGCCAAGGATGCCCTCGAGCTTAAGTTATCTTGTTTCCTTCCTCCTTTCTTCCTCCCTGCTCCCGTCTCTCATCCACGCCCAGTCAAGCACCCAGTTCGGCCAATGTGTCGACAACTGTATCAGCACCTACCCCATCGTCAACCACTGCAATGGCACCGAGACCGGCTCCGCCCTCGATCAATGCAAATGCGAGAGTTACTCTCCCTCGAACGACCCGCTGATCAACTGTGTCCTCAACTGCCCTTCGGACCAGCAACTCGCATTCGCTGACAGTCTCCCGAAACTCTGCGCACAGACTCTGTTCCTGGGTCTCGACTTGTCGGACCAACCCAAGCCCTCGGCAGAAAATACAGCAGCTAGTGCCACGGTCGACGCAGCACAAGCCACAGGCACGACCAGCGGGAATGGTGCAGTCAGCTTTGGAGCAGACGCGAACATGCTGGCATATCTTGCCTTGACGTTGGGTGTCGCGGTGTTGCTATGACAGCTTGAGTGTTTCTCTCATAAAACGTCTCAGAGAGCGCGCAGAGCCTGGTTCAAGAGATGCAAGGCCAAAGGTTGAAAGATTTCACAAAGCGTTGACCCGCCGGTATTGAAGATGTTGTCCATTGGGGGCCATGAGTGATTGATTGATTGACGATCTAATGTCTAGAGTCGGTGAATGCGCATTTCCTTCTGCTTGGGCAGGCGTTGACTGGTCATCTGCGAAGAGTACAATGTTCTGACAGTACGATGTGGAAAACAGGACACACATACACTTATATACACAGGCGTATACCTCACCACCTAAGCGGCCTTCAGATGCTTGTATACATATCCTCGGCCCAGAAAATCAGAAACTGGTCTTTGCTCTTCTTGCCCGTGTACAATACATACAAACATATAGACACTTGGACACACTCCACCCACCGCCGTGAAAACAGCAGAATCTAGTCGTGCAC